TCAGCTTTTTTTTCCCCCAGGCAGCATCCCAAGCAATTTCCAGCCAGCTTGTGCAGTCTGTTACTCCCAACCTTTCCTGTCTCAGGAGCTCCATTTCATTTTTATATGTCCAGAGACATTGTTTTAAGCAATCAGTTTGTCTTGTCCCTCTGCAGGTGGAGGGATGGGGCAGGATTGGCTGGTTTGGTGTCACATCCCCCACCGAGTTTTGAATCTGCTGGTGCATTTTAACCAGACCTGACAGAGGTCTCAGAAGGATTCTGTATTTGCAGGTTTCATGAAATTAGGCAGCCTCTAAATGGTCCCACTGCAGGAGAAGCTGCAAGGGAAGCAGATCTCCTTTTTATACCCCAGGGTTTCCCTGCTCTCTTACACAGAGAGCCAGATTTCCCCGTCTCTACTGTCATTTCAGAAAATGGAATTAAACTCCCACACACGGAAAATCCGCGTTTCTTCTTGCACATGCACATTCCCCTTCCAGCCCCGTGTGATCATCCATTTTATATTGCTCCTGTCCCTTATGTCCAAACGTCTTGCAGCACTTAATTAAGTCTGCCCAGCAATGCAGAGCAGGCAATTGCTGTCATCTCCCATTCTCCAGGGGTGGGAGGGAACCCAGGCAAGGAGAAGTGATTTCACCCACAGCCACACCATGAGCCTGGGGCAAAAATCCACATCCTGCCTGTGTTACCTCCTTGCCCTCTTCCCAGTGTGCTGTGCCCAGCCCCTGTTTTCCTAAAGACCTGGCAGGGTCAGCCTGCCTACTCAGCTGGATGAGCCCATCTCACCTCCTCACTCTTTGCCTCTCATGTCCAACCTCGAACAACAAAGCGCTTTTTTTATTTTTTTTTTTTTCCTCAAAAAGATTTGTTTTTCCAGAACTGGCCTCAACTGAGCAGCATCATTAGTGAAATGCCTGTATCAGTGCATCTGCCTGGCTGTTTGCATCAGGTATTCCAGTGCTCAGCCCACTGTTTTCTTTGCTTTGCCTTGTAGCTAAATAATCACTTTCTGAGAGAAGAGAAAAAGGACAACACTACAATATACTTCAAAGCAGTGGGCTGAAGCTGTTAACTGTTCTGTGGTAACAGGAATGTTTTCTGTCCTGAGCAGGACCCAGTCCCAAAGCCAAGCTGAGCTTCATCTGTTTTCCAGCCTTCCTGCAGTACCTCGTACCCAAGGCTCTCATGACTAGGAACAACAACAAGGATAGTGATAATGAATATTCAGACATCCCACAAACCACTCTCAGCATCTGCCATCCTATCTGCATTAGCATCAGTGTGCACAGATAATGATCAAAGCAGCATTATCCTGCCAGAGGCCCCCCTAAGCCACCCTTATTAGTATGAATCGATGCTGATTAATGTGCTTCCTTAATGCAATTGTATCTACTCCTACTGTTCATGATTTAATAGAAAACATCTCCCCCTTTGCTTGCCTTCCTCCAAATACCACATGCAAGGTGCAAACCTTGACTGAGGGGACCAGGAAAATCAGTGGTCCAAGTCTGGCAAAAAAGACACCTAAAGTCTGCTAGAATGAAACACACATGAGGAGGAAACAAGCCTTTGGAGATTGTAGCAGTGAACTATTTTTCGTGCTAGGATGGTAGATCTGAATCCAGGCATCTCATGAAAGACAGAAGCAGCTATGAGGTTCTACAGCAATTCTGCTTATGCAGCATATATAAAACAGCCCTGATAACTGCAGCAGGCTCTGTGCTTGCTGCTGACACACTCCTGGACTTCAGCAGTGATGGAAGGAGGAGTGTTGCACAGTTTAGTTTGGTGTTTTTAACATCACTTGTAAATGGGAGGAAACGCTACATTTTGCCTTGTGCTGCTCTGAGCACTGACAGTGGCTTTGTCTCGGGGTTTCCAGTGTCAGTGACACAGCCCTGATGCACTGTGTCCGTGTTCCTGCACAGCAGGACACTGGGCAAATCACCCCTGAACAGCTGACAGTGTTTCAATTAGGGATGGGGGAGGCCTTTCCAAACCTGTGGTCACTGTGGCTTTTTTGGGGTCTGCTATGGGTCTTAGGAGAGGAGCAGTGGTCAGGTGAAACCTCACTCAACAAAACCACAAGTGCCCCGAGGAACTGCTTGACTGAGGAGCACAGAACAAACCAGCTGACCAGAAAACATATGGGGGAAAAGGAGCACTGAAAGAGAAGATTGCACAGAAAATTCCCCTGCTCCACATCAGCTGCTTTTCCAAGGAAAGGAGTGATATCCTTAATGTAGAATATGTGCCTCCCTTGGGCTAGTCTAGTGCAAAGAGCAATTGAGAGACATCATTTGGTAGGAAAGAGGCTTCTGTGTTGGAATTAAACAGTTGACAAAATCCCAACAGCTTTACAGATTCTTGGAGTCAATTTAAGGAGCCCACAAAATGAGATTTTACCCCTGTGGGTTTCAGTAAAACGATATGTTCTGGGGGGTGTGCACAGTCCAGCTTTCAGCTGCTAGGACTGACTGTGGCTCCACTAATTCCCCACAGCAAGACTGATTTTGAGACTCCTTCAAAAATACATGGGCTCAGTTTTTAAGTTCTGTCAACAGGGACAAATATTAAAAACAGCCAGCCCTCCAACACCCAGCCAGACTCCTACCTGATGGCTCCATGTGCTCTGCTGAAGCCCCCAGGGCTTTCCCCTCCTCCTCAGGTGACCACACTGGGAGCAAATCAGTCCCAGAGAGTGTTTTTCTAAAGTGCTCAGCTCCCAGCAGCTCCAACCAGGACACACATGGCTGGAGTTCCCCAATCCCCTCAGCTCAGTGAGTGGCATTTGGCCATGAGATGTCCCAAGGTGCCCTTGCAGTCTTCCCCCTGCCTCTCGAAACTCTTTCCCTAACAATTTCCACTGGACTTTGTCTCGTCTCCAGTTTCTTTTGTGAGCAATGACTTCTCCAGGCTTGTCACCACCTGTGAGACCCTTCCCAGACTCCTCCCATGCACACAGAATGCTGCTGCCTATTTTCTCCCATGGTGGAAGGAGGATGTTGTGTCCTCCCCATGACACAAATGTCTTTCCTAAGCGCTACAGCAATATCCAGCCGAAATAGAGAAAAAGCAGATCCCTTTCCACTTCCCATGGGTAAAGTTCATCCTGAACTGAGATAAGGCTTCAAATTCTTAGCAGTCTCCTATAAATCAAAAGGGAATTTGTTCCTCACCCCCTAACAGATAAAACTAGAAATCACAGGCTTCACATGCAGACAATTTTTAGCTCCTTTATAAAAGTGGAGGTGGCAGAGCTGTGACACAGACTGCCTGCTCTGGGTGTGAATTCCCCATCACAGGAAACCTTCCAGGTTACACACGACCCTCTGTCAGATGTGACACAGGTATGGCTGAGTCTGCCTTGGGGAAGAGGCATGGAGTAAATGACCTCTCAAGGTCCTTCCCGACCCGTTTCTCCATGATTCTTAGAGACAGGATCCCAGGCTTGATGGATCTCTGGCCTGACCCGCAGTGACAGTCCGTGGACGTGTCTGAACAGATCCATCGTGCGGGTTTCCCTCCCAGCCCATCCCTGCAGAGTGCTGTGCTGGCAGCCCGGGCTGCACAGCTCTTTAGCAAAGGGCAGAGCTGCTGCCAGGGGCACTGATCAGGGCAGGGCTTTGGTCACAGTGTCTGTTGTCAGGCAGGGCAGGGGGTGAGCTGGGGAGAGCCAGGGCCAGGCAGAAAGGCTTTGCAAAAACAGGCGAGTTTTCTCTGCCTGCTCTGTGCGAGCAAAGACCTCACTGTTAAAACCTCACTAGTGGAAGCGTGGCAGCAGAATTTCGAGGTTTGGGGGTTGTCTTCCCCCTGAGCTGTTTTGACTGAGGACAAGCCAGGACAATATTTTCACCCTGTGCTAACCTCCCCGTGCTGCTGCAAGGGGAGGGAGGTGCTGCACTCCCTGGAGGCCACTCCCAGGAGCAACTCATTTTTCTTCCCCACACATAGCTGATGCCTTGCATGTCTCTATTACCCTGCAAGTGGCTTTGGGCTCCCTGCCCATGAGAGGACACTGCCTGCACACACGTGGACCCCTGCTCCCCCATCCCCAGCCATCCCGTGTCTCCGTGTGCCAACAGGCTATTCACTGGTGCTTCCCTGCCTACTGCTTTGCATGGCTGTGTTTGCAAGTGTCTTTCTGAAGCACAACAGGACTATATAATTATGTAAATGCACACATGTCTCTGAGAGTTTTGCAGTCTCTTTGGGTTTTAGCACAAATCTCCTGACACTTGCTGGCTTATTCCCCTTCACTCCAAAGCACTTGCTGCCTTAATGGGAGGTTCATGTGAGCACCCCGGCCTTTCATGTTAAAATGAAGAGAAAAAAGTGTGTTTCTGGATAGCACAGCTGGCAAGAAGAGCTTGAAACAAGCAGCAGCAAAGGCTTCAAAACCTAGAAGGCAAAGGAAAATCCAAATTCTGCCTGTTCTCTTTAGTTTTTTAAAGCAAGATCACAGTTCTGTGAGCAAGTCCAACACATATGGAGAGATAATCTGCAAAGGTCTCCGCTAGGCAGCAAACAGGTAAGGCTCATGCACATCAGTGTGAGAGCTGTCACACTGATGTGTGTTGTGACATCTTTATGCCCATGAGAACCTGCAGCTATTGGCAGTTCACAAGTATGAGTTTGGGCTGTCCAGAGCTTCACTGATTTGAAAAACCTGCTCGTGAACCTGCCTGTGAACTGTCTGTCACCGCAAATGAAGAACACCCACACCCTTAGTCCCTTTTTATCTCCATCTACTCTCTGCACATTGCCATGACACTGCAGCGCTTTCATCTCACTATCAGAGCACCACATCCCAGCCTTTGAAGCGATTTGCTCTGCCAGCTGAGGACCATGGAGAACCAAGGGAGCGTTTCCAGGTGGAAACGGGGATGATGATGCATCTCCCGTGGACCACGAGCCTGGAGCCCGCAGGAACTGGCTGAGTTCCCACCACCAAACAACTTCTCCAAGCCACAGGCGGGGCGAGGGGAACCGACATACCTGTATATTTTATATCTGGTTGTAAATCCTTGACGATGTCTTTCCACAAAGGATAAGTAGCTCCGTGAGTGGTGGAAAGGCCCCCTGTCTGAAATAAGCCAATCAAACTCCTTGGAGACATGTTGGTTGGTAGCAGCTGGGTCCTGGTGGGAGGGCTGTACGAGTATATGGTCCCATATAAACAGGAGGTAGAGGAACTCAACAAGCCTCCAGTTCATGCTTTTCTGTCTGCCTTTTTCCTCTCATTCTTGCTCCATTCTGTGGAGTCCTGTTGAAAATAGAGAGGGAATAGGAGGAAGGAGAGAGAGAGAGAGAGAAATGGAGGGGAGGAGAGGGAGGAGGGAGAGAAAGAGAGAGTTTAAAAATGGGAATTGCTTTGATCCTTTGACAACCGTCTCTCAGGGTGCAAATTGACAGGAAAAATCTAGTTTTAAAAGCCTTCGGTTTGCCTGTGTTACAGCTTAGAGTATTTGGCAGTGTTTTATTCATGTGCCTAAGTGGTGCCTTTAACCTCCTGAGCATATATCACCTTTGAAATAACCAGGTCCTGACCTGAGCCATCCTCACCCCAGCTTCTCCATCATTTCCCTCGTGAAGTTCTCTGCAGTGCTGCAAAGGCGAGTGAAGGCCGGGCACAGGAGGTGGCTGCACCCCAGGCTACAATTACCCCTTTATTGTCCCTTTAATGCTGTGCCAGAGAAACGTGTCTTCTGCTTTCATGTCTCTCTGATGATCTGTAATCCATACTCTGTGCAACCTGAGCAATCTATAAAGACCCGGCTCTCACTTTAAAGCGTTGCCAAAAAAAGAAATAAAACAAAATAATCACCCAGGCTCCGGTGAGGAGCACACACGGACACACAGACACACACACACACAGAGACACGCACACAACCATGAAATCCTGCCAAACTTTGACAGATAAAAATGTCCTCAACCTGCTTTCCTGCCTGGGTTTGGGGAGGTGTGTGTCTGGTGGAGGGGGACGGGGTCTGTTGCTGTTTCAGTTATGGTAGGACCTCCAGGCTCTTCCCAAGATCAAGGTTCTGCAGGGTGACGTATTTAACATGCATATTCAGCGTAGGAGGTTTACTAGGGACCTTCAGGGGATGCTCCACACCACCTGGAGCAGGGCACGCTGTCGCTGCCGTGGTGGGAGAGCGGCTGTCCCACCGCACCCCCCCGGCACAGCGCGGTCGAGGACAGCCCTGCCACGAGCCAGCTCCTCTCCCTGACGAGTGACAAGACATATGATGAGTGGGAAGGGAAGCAGAGGGGTGAGGTGCCTTGCCAAAGGTTACTCAGCACGCCATGGATACAGCTGGAAGAGAGCCCTGGTCTCCTGACTCCCATTTCCAGCGTTAGATCATCCGCCCCCGCAGTCAGGCTGTTGGCGCGATGCCCTTCTCCAAACAAAGCCACGTGCTCCCTTGGGGGCAGGTGAGGGCCTTGTTTAGCACCCTGCACACAGTGTGGATCCCCTCACTTTCTTCTGAACCACAAGCTGCTGGGTTGTGCTCCTCTTCACTGGGAGCTGCTCAGAAAAATCCCTCTCTCCACGCTCAGGACCAGTTCTTCCTCCTGCCCCCCCCTCTCCTGTCCTTGTGATTTGTGGAGGATGTGTCAACATGGTGTTCACACCTGGGCAGGCAGAGTGATCCCCCACTCTAGGAGCTCAAATCTCAAGCCAAAAGTTTCCCCCCTGGTCAGGTGATACCCACCTATTTCTGTAAAATACAGTGTAGAGCGACTGCAGCTACTTTTTAAAGCAGGAGAAAGGCTATGCAGAGCTCTGCCACAGTGAGATTTAGTGTCAGGCTTATTTATAGATCTCCAGAAACCCTTCTGAGTCCACCATAAGCACTCCAAAAGTTTGCAATTCCCAGAGAGGAAAGGTTTTGCTAAGAGTGTAGGAGAGGCCAAACTGAGGTGTGCCAGAGGTGCCACACACATTCACACCTTGGCTGGTGTGAGCAGCAGAGCACAGACCAGAGGCCATCAGCATTTCTGGTTGGCTTGAACCATCTCCCATGCTCCAGGAATTCTCACCAAGAGCACAGAAAAGCTTCAGCCCACGGCAGTGAGTGTGCAAGTCTACTGTGCAGGGGGATTGAAGCCCTGAGTGTGCCGGGGAGCACCAGAGCCAAGTGTGAGCCGGGGTGTGTGGGAGCCTGCACGTGTGCACAGCATGTGTCAGCGGAGCTGCAGTGAGCTCAGCAGCACTTGACAAGGCAGAGTTGTGTAAGTCTGGTTAAAAATGACACTCAGCTGTTGCGTTACAGGGAGAAATGAGAGAAAATTAAGCACGAGCAAGTCAATGAATGTTCGGTTTTTCTGTTGGCCACGTGTGAACTTCTTTCGAATTGCAAGGGGAGTATTACTGTTATTAAACCTGGTGGGACCTGCAGCTCCTGGCTGAGGAGGTTGTTCCTGTTCTGGAGACATGCATTTAACGTCAGCCTTCACCACTGGCTCCTGCTTCACTCATACAGAGGGCAGTTCTCGGTGCTTTAGTCCCTCACCTCACACAAATGACTGGTTCAAGTTTACCTTTAAAATCAGGGGGTTGGGGAGTTTCCAGCCCCACACTGAGGGGATCAGAGCATATTCCAAGTGGGCTATAGTACACCTCTGCTTCCACTCACAGCAGTCATGAGCCTGAGGTGATTACTGGGACATTCTCCCAGCTGCGTCCCACTCTCAGGATTTCCAAATTCCAGTTCAGCAGTTTCTACTGGCTCTCCACTCACTGCTCTTGTCCCACCACTGTGGGATGCAGCTGCCAGCTCAGCAGATTTGCCCTTAGCAGGATATGCCATCACTGCTGATAACGATCAGGTGTTCTGCACATGTTGTCCAAGCTGGCTTGGTTGTCTGTTCATTAAAGTCATCCATAACTACTTCCCTCATCAGCCAGCCTGGATCAGTTTTCCTTTAAATATTTCACTTTCTATCGAATTCCTATTGCAAAGAGAGGCTGGGAGCTCTTACACACCAAGGTGGAGTGACAGCCCCCTTCCAGCTCCCAGTACAGTGCAAGTGAGAACTAAAATATGAGAAGACCCAAACAAAATGCATTTCAGAGAAATCCCAGTGTGTCCTCCCACATGAGAACATGGGGAAATACATTGGGGAAATATTGGCTTGTGAAAGGAAGGAGATATTCCCTAATTTCCCACACATACCATCTTCATCCTCCCCTTCCTTTCCTTCAGGCCACAGTCAGAGTCAGGATGATTAGGGTTGTGATGGCTCATCACCAAGAGGTAAAACATGGGGAGAACATGCCTTGAGACCACTGTAAGAAATGGCCACATCTCCGGTCTGGAAGCTGGATCAGTGCTGAGAGCAGGGAATGGTGCCTGAGGCAATGGAGGATGGTAGAGCACAACTGGGTCTAGACTGCTATCACACCATCAACTTTAATTTTTTAGTAGTATCTTTTTCCCCCCTGTAGCTGCTGTAGAGATGTTGTTTCACATTAAAGATTAATACACTCCACAGGGCTGGTCCCCATGGAAGCTATAAAGCTCACTAAAGTGGGATTATTTTGTGTCTAAGGCAATATTGTGAGGTGCATTCAATCTAACTTCTAACAAGCTTGAATCTGAAATTAATTTGTCAGGTGTCTTATGGGGCTCCACTGATGTGAGATATGTTCTGGGGATTTGGCAAAAGGGAAAAGGGAAGAAGCAGGGACGTGATGTCTCCAAGTCTATAAACCTTGGGTTGGAGATCCAACGCTAACCAAAAGCTAAACCTGGCACAGAAGGCACCTCAGCACTAAAGGGGAGGCTTGGGGGAGTCAGACACTGAGTTTTGATCCAAGAATCCAGTGTTGTGCTCAATTCTGCCCCAGACACCAGGACCTTGGTCAGTGCCCTTGAATGCTTTTTTTTTTTTGGCCTCACTTTCCAATTGCCAACGTGGAGTCACAGCAGTGTTTGTGTGGCTACTTGGACCACGAACTTGTTGGAGAGGCCAGAATCTGGTTGTAGCATCTACCAGAATGCAAATCTGCTGTCCATACGACTCACCAGGTGTTTCTGTCCTATAAGTAAGGAAGAACAACCATCTCAGCCAGCTTTGTAACGCGGCAGTTGAAAAAATCCAAGCTGAAAAGCTCCCTTTCCACTCAGGAGCAGCACAGAGCAGTGCAGTGAGCTGGGTCCTTCTGGTTCATGTCAACAAACACCATCATGCAAATGTCACATCTGTTAACAAACATGATCAGTGGGTGAGCTAGAACATGGGCTACAGTTCATGGTAAATAAGTGGTGGGAGAAGAAAATGTTCCATGTGCTGGTTCTGAGTCACATTCCAGTCATTTTCCAGCATCGTCCATCCCTCAGTGCAAATGGAGATTCCTGTTACAACCCCTGGTAGTTTATTAGGTGGTTTAAGGTGGCCTTTCTCTAATAGAAATTTAGTCTGAAGCATTAAATGTTCCTTATCTTATGAGTCTTCAGGGTTCTTGGAGGAAAAATAGGCAAGTACTTTCTGTAAAGTGCAAGTTGTATTTGAATGTACACTTAATTTCATCGTGATTGATATCTGTGTGTTAATTATATTCTATTTTCGGCAATACCTTTGCTGTCACAAGGCAGTGCCTTTTATCCAAGGAGTTCAAATTGAATTAGAGACATTAATTAAAGCTCTCAGCACTCTAGTAAGGCAGGCAAGTGCTGTTACTCCCATTGTTTCTTGAAATAAGAAGAAAAGAATAGAGCTGGGTGTCTACTTAGCCACTTAAAAGGTAATTTTTATACAGTGGGATAGCTGAGAATGATAGATTTTGTACAAAACAGTATTGCAAGGTCTGTTTCATATGAGAGAGGCTGTGCAACCCCAGCTCCCTCTACAAATGGGCAGACAGGATACAAGTGCTCTGACTCTCCTTTGCTTGCTGTGAACACTCCACTCCTCCTCTGCCTCCTGGGATTTTCTACCTTTCTCCCAACCTCTCCTCACCTTTCATTTATCCCTTCTATTAGACTCAAACTGATCTTGCACACATCCCTCCTGTTTTCCCCCGTGCTTGTTGTTGGGAACTATTTCCATCAGAAATGCAGATTCAGGAAAGAGAAATTACTGAACACACTATTTGCAGTGAAGAAATAAGTCCCCTATCTCTTTAAGCTTCATGCACCAATAATTCTTCCTTGTGTCCCACATTTGGTTCTTGGCAGGTTGGAAGAGGTTTCTGCCTGCTGCCATTTACCAGAGGGAGGAGGCTAACAATTGCTATTTGTATCTGAAACACTTCTG